ACATGAACCAAAGTAAACCTATCTTCACTTTTTAATTAAAATTAGAACAAAAAAAAAAAAAAGAGGAGATTTTAGGTGGTTTCCTTTATGAGGAATTTAATGTGTGCATCAGAAAGGAGGAGAGGCCCAAGTGGTAAATGCTTTTGGATGAAGAGTTGGTGAAAGTGTTAAAGAACAGCCTCTAACCTTTGTCCCCTCAACCCAACACTTTATATTTTGGTCTCTATTTAATGATATTATTTTCATTTTAGAGGTTGCATAATTAGAAGAAGAAGAAGAACGCTGCTTTTCATTCATACTTAGCTTTTAATTCTGTTTTTCCCCTCTCTCCTCTTAATTTCATTTGCTTTTGGGAAGATAAAGGCCCCACAGAAACCTTTGGCCTTTGTCCCCATTAATAACTTATAAGGTACAAACAAAGTGGTTGTGTAAGACAAAGGTGAAGCTGCAATAGCCTCTTTTCCCGGGACGGTTTCTCTTTCTTAAAACGTGTAGTGTGGAGATTCAAATCTTCGACCTAAACCATCATGAAGTTGTGATAGCTATCTCTCCACATGCAACGGGTTTTTACTTTTAACGTGGATACTCAAACTTTCGACCTATGAACATGAGATTCTACACTCTGGACACTGTTTGGAGGCTCAAAATAACTTGAAGACACATGATGCCATTATGGCACATAATACAGAATTCACCAACTACAAATTTAATGCACTCTCACGGTGCATTTTTAGAGTAGAAATAATTATATCACCATAATTCAATATCCTTAATAACAAAAAACAACAAAAAGTTTTAATATTTGAATCCATTGCCATAATATTGGTAACAGACTGAATCATTGGCATAATATTGGCAACAAAGACAACTACCAACATTACTGAATTATTGGTAACAGATTGTTCTAACCTTCTTGAATCCATTGGCATAATATTTGAACCCAAAGTGTACATATTACTAACTAAATCGAAATAATTTTAGTAGAATATATTAGTGATTTCTCAAAATGACGTGACAAACATGATGGAAGAAGTTCACCGACAGTCATTAACTCAGTTGAAAAGTTTAAGCATTGTAAAGAAACTGCAGGAAAACGCCATGTGATTGCCATTTCTAGCATTTTTTTTTTCATAACCAAAGAAAACAAACAAGCAACAAAAACAACCAAGCTTTTACAAGCAAAGCAAGTAGAGAAGTTAAAAGTACCTTTCATAAGAGAAACAGAGAAAAAAACGGACCTTTTTTCAAAGAATTTGTCGCTGTAGATTGTGTTTTACGTCGTCAAACTTAACGAACGATAGACGCTCGTCGTTGAGCCAACTGCATTTCTCTTTAAGTAGATTCACAGTGTATTTTGTAGGGTAGCTATGGATGCAGTCTTTCCAGACATTTTCATCTTCCAAGTTGCTCATAACCTCCCACACACAGCTGTTGCATTCATAGCCTGCTCCAAAGCTTATCATCAGAATCTTGTCACCCTCTTTTAGCCTTTTTTTGGCTTCCATGTAGCCTAAAACATACCAAAGGCCACCAGTGGATGTGTTTCCAAATCTATGGAGTGCCATTCTTGCAGGCTCTAGGTCATAATCACTCAGCCCTAAGCTCTTACCGATCCCATCAATGACTGCCCTTTCAGTTGGTGGTATCCCAAAGTGATCGACTCCAGTCTTCAGATTCAAGCGCACTTTCTTTGCTTCGATGTTGCCGTTGATGGTTTTGTAAAGAGGATGAGTTAGGATGGCATAGCGAAGTAGTTCCCTCAATGGTAAAATCCTAGGCAGTAGAGTTTGAAGGTTGATGGTGAGAGCTTGAGTTGCAACAGCTTTTATGTGTTTGGTGAGACGAAAACCTCGGTGACCATGGTCATCTTCCACTTGAATGGAACATCCATATGCTTCGTTGCTTGATCCCAAATGTGTTCGAAGAATACATTTAAGTTTCAGCAGAGCAGAATCCTTCAAAGCTGCCTTGTTCGTGAAGAGCATCGAACAGCCTCCCGATCGGTACAAACAGTTCGTGAGCATCATAGGCTGTTCCTTCCCACTATACCAGTTTGGTCCTATGGATTCTGTACTAACAACAACCGCATATGCATTCTTGTTTGTCTTGAACAAGTGTTTCACGAGATCAATAGCTACAATACTGGCACTGCACCCCATCCCAGAGAGGTTGAAGGCTTTGACATCCTCCCTCATCTTGTAACGGTTTATTATTCGAGCAGTCAACGAGGGCGCTGGAGAGAACAAAGACACATTCACAACAAGTATATCAATGTCAGATGGAGAAACTCCCGTCTTGGCAAAGAGTTTGTCGAGTGCGCTCGAAAACACATCATCCATCTCCGAAATAGCATCTGATAGAGAAGGGCTTTCTTCTCTGGCTGCAATTATGTTTTTCGGGCCGTAAGTTTCTCCTCCTAATCCCGAATTGACCATGCTTTTGAGTAGGTATCGGTATTCTTCAAGCCCCAGATTCCTGTTCCTCAAGATGATATTTACACAGGCTTCCACACCCAGCTTCCTGTCTTCAGTAGCTTTATAGCACTCGTACCCCAACAGATAACAGCATTGGTCTCTCCTTTGCAGAATCAACTTCCAAATGCAGAAGAAAGAATAGAAAAGAGACAGTAAACATACTACCATGAAAATCCCCATGGCCAGAGTGAGAGTGAGGAGACCAAGTTTCAGTTGGATCCTGTCATTCTATGGAGTGTAGTTATATTCAAGTTCTGTACCAACTAAGACAGCCATGCAATTTACTTTACTCACAAATAGATGAAAATTCCAGCCTGTAAATACAGTTTGGTAGATCAAAAGAGCCATTAATTTTGATGGGCCAATAAAAGACTATAGACCAATTGTAATCAACCAACCCATCTCATACAGTTAAAATATGGTATATACTCCTAATAGTACAAGAAAACGTATTATTTAGCCGAGAACATGCTCCACTTAGAAAAGCTAACCACTGGTTTTCAGAAGCTCAAAACACACAAGTAATGAATTTCACTTCAATTATTACATTGTAGGGGAGGTTGCTATAGAATTGTTATTTCATTAGGAAACATGATCTGAAACTCTCTCTTTTTGTTCTCTGTTTTTGGCTAGTTGGGTAGTTGGTTACTGAATAACCATTGTCCCAAAGGGAGAAATTATTTGAGGTGGCGCTACAATGTTGCAGACAGTTTTGCACTATTCGATGAATAAGAAAGAAAGTGCAAAAATACTCCGAATTCGTTATTATGGGCATACAGATTTTTTAATCACATTCCATTGCTTACTAAAAGGTGTCTTATTGAATATATATATTTTTTTTTACTAATATACTAATTGAGAGGAGAAAAGCATTTCCAAATCATGATCATATATGATAATGGCTATGGTAGATTCAAATGAAGAAGTTAGAGTGGGAACATGAGTAATTTGAATTGTACAAAGTTACTGACCAACAACATGACAATGGCTGAGGTAGATTCAAATGAGTATTTTGAATTCTACAAAGTTACTAATCAACAACATGGATAATGGCTGTGGTAGATTCAATATGGTAACTGGAAGAAATCACGAATCAAAGGGAAACCATTAATTACAACTTTAGTACATGAGAATATGACACAGACTGCTCAGCTTATGAGATATCACATCACAATTACCAAAATCACAGGGAAAACCATGGATAAGAATCAATGAATCAGTAACCATTTTCAACTCAAGTATGCAATTTAGAAAAGGGTATATAATCAGCATTCTCACCATCGCTCCACTTAAGAGAACATGCATGTCTCTGCTTGTTCACGGACAAGAAAACCTCGCTGTAATTCCATTAAAGAATCGATTAGGATGTTGATCCGATCGTTCCTTAGGGCCAATAATCCTCTCTGATTGCGTTGATAAGGAGAACAGCTCCTCTTCCATTTCCGGTCTGAAAGGGCGCTGAAATTTTAGGGCTATGGGGATTTGACGCGTCACGAGCGGATATCGGCACGTAGGGTTTTAGGGTTTTGCAGAAAGGAGAAACGTCTGAGGTAGACGGTGGGTCCCCTGGTTGTTGGGTCAAAGATGGTGATGATGTGATGCTAAGATCGATGAAAAACTCGGCTGAAAGTCGAGGCTCTCCCATGGCGACGTGTGTGCCCCTGACTCTTGACTTCCGTAATGTGGCAGACAGAAGGCGACCGGTTTGAAATTGGGCAGCGTGAAGGTCAGCGCCGTCGCTGTCCAACAGAGGTGGCGCCGGTGAGCTGCTGAATGAGGAAGGAAAGGCTCGGTGGAGGTGGCGGATGAGTACCAAACTTTTGGCGGGGACGATGGAATAATAGGATTATTTCCATTATTAATATTATTTTTAAAAAAGGATTTTTTTTTCTTTTTTTTTTATTCGTTGGTTTTTTTTAAGACTATTTAAAAAAAAAAAAAACTAGAAATAATATTTATAAATTTAATGTTTAATTAAATTAAAATTGATTTTTTAATTCTCTCCTGCATTTTTTCTTTCACTGGCCAGGTTCAGCAGGAATTGATTGTTAATATTTTTATTATTATTATTATTAATTTTGGAAAAATAAATTTTCCATTTCCTTTGTTTATATATCATTTAAATCTAAATTTGACTAAAATAAATTAATGCTTTGGAAAATAGGATGATCCAAAAAATTCAATGATTAAGAAAGTTCAATCTGACCTCAAAATTAGTAAATAATCAAACAACTTTTTAATCAATACATTAAATTCTTTGATTATAAAGTTTTATTATATACACATTTTGTGAGAAAAAAAATTAAATTATAAATATATATTCTTTATAAGTTAGAAAAAATAATAATTATATCGTATATACTATTTTTTAAAATGTTATAATATTATAAAGGCTAAGTCTAACTTTTTAAAAATTATTGGAATTGAATTAATAATTTAATGAAAAATTGTTCGGAAAGCTTTGTATTTTCTTTGTATAATAAATGTTTAGTTTTTTGGAAAATAAATATTTTAGTTGGCAGAAAATATATACATTTTCAAACGTATATGATATAATAATCCACATCAGAAAACCCAAATTTATACATTTTCAAACGTGGACAATACGTGTCGACGGGAGATTGCGCCACCTCATCATTTTTTTGTTCAAACACTGCGAAAAGAAGAGGAGGAAGAACTACTACCGGAGGAAGAAACCCCATGAAACAAATCCGACAAATAGTTCCCCAAATCATCGGGAGAGAACCTCAAAACCCCTCTCTCCACACCCACCGTCTCAGCGCACCCCTCGTAGAACTCCCTGTACCTCGGCACCACCTTCCTCGCTATACACATTTTCAGCTCGTCTCTCAGTTTCCCGTCCTCCACCCTCCACGACGTCTGTTTCCGGTACGCCCCTTCGAACGCTGCATTGAACTTTCTAAACCACTCCTTCGCCGTCTCCGGCGACCCCACTTCCGTCGAACCCCTCTCCGGCAGACACGACATCACTCTGTTCCACGCCGTCGCTTCGTAGTTCGCTGTGTACACCTTCATCTTGCTCGTGTGATTCGTCACCCACTCGCCGCCGAGGACGCTTCTTAGATTGGTCGCCGTCACTGTCTTCACGATGAAATTCAGGTTGTTGGCAAGGAAGAGATAGGAGAGAGATACGTCTTTGTAGAGCGCCGCTTTTGTGTCGAGTTTGCAGAGGAGGACTAGAATTAACCACCCGAGTTGCGCCGCCACTGGAGACGAGAGACCGTCGTCGACGGCGTTGGTTTCCATGTACGACGCTGGAATATGAGATTTTCCGGCGGGGATGATGTCGGAGAGAGTCCCACTATAATCTCCCAGCGATGAGATGTAGTTCATTGCCGATCGGGTCAGTGGGTGGATTCCGCCGCCAGGGGCCGGAGTCTTGGACGAATATTTCTGAATTGTCAGCTCGAATTCATACAGAATGTCGCGGATTAAATCCGCGAGTTTCACCATTGACGTTTGAGCTTGTGTTTTAATGGCGGACGTCGAAACAGAGTCGAATATTACCTCGATTTCCGGCCAGACTTCGTAACTCGCTTCGTAAAGCTCCATTAACAGAAAGATTTTGTCGGAATCTTTCTTTCCCTTTGCGACCAATTCCGGGAATCTAAACAATGTGATTGCACCATCTTTTGTGATGTCGGAAAAACAGGATTCCCGGATTCTTTGCGACCTCGAAAAAACATGATCGCAGAGAATTTTCTCTCCACGAAACAGAGTATTCACGGCGATCTTGATCGAATTCATCCAAATCTTAATCACATGCTCCACCGAATCCCAATTCCATCTCTGAATTCTCGAAAGTTTGAACTTCTCTGTTTCGAGCCGATACAGAGTTTCATCGACGATCGATTTTCGAATTACTTTGTAGATTTGAACACTCTCTTTCCCATACCCAGAATCAATCATGCAATCAGCAATCGATTTCAAGTCCGCCGAGACTCTGTCGACGTCGCCGACGGAATCCCCTCTGCTTTCGCCGTCGGGCGTTGACCTATCAGAAGATCTACCAGAAAAGGATTCCGGGTCGAGATTCTGGCGATTCTCACTCAAAATCTGGTAGAACTCCTTCTCTAGTCGTCTCATGGCAGCCTGCATCAGCTTTTGAGCTAGAACAAGGACGTTGGAGGTGGAATTCTCGGATATGACAAAGTCCATTGTCCGCCGGAGCTCATTAACGGAGTTCAAAAACTCGTCGGATTCAGCTCGGCCGTGGCGGAAGAGGAAGGTAATTCTATTGAACTCAGAGGAATCCGGGTCCCATTTCATGATGATGGGTTCCGAGTTCGTGATGGCCTCTTCCATGGCCGCCAATTGGGAAGGGTCATATCTCAGCGGCAACGGAGTCCGGCGGTCGGAGGTGGGGAAGGAAGAAGAGGAGTGGAGGGATTTGGGGGAAGAAGAATGGGAGAAGCCGAAGAATTCTTTGATGTGCATTAGTTTGTTATTGCTCTTTGGGGGCTCTGAGAGTATCATTGGGAAAACGCTTCGAGAGCTGGCTATGGAGGCGTGGGAGTTTTGAAGGGATTTATAAAGATTTCAACCAGCACAATCATCCATTGACTGATTCAACATTACGTGGCTGAGCTTATGTATATATATACACACATATATTTATTTATTGTTATTTAAAATTGTATATTTGACTTCAAATTATATTATTATATTATAAGATATAGTACCCATGTTATTAATTTGATGAGTTGGACATATGAGTCCGTCCATTAGGTGGAACATATGTTCATCTCAAGATGACGTGGAGTCGTAGACTAACTACCAAAATGGACCCCACGTCGGTTGAACGCTTGGAAACTTGTCGCATACTGTTGGTGTGTGTGAATAAAAATAATAGACACATCAACTATTAAAAACAAAAATATTATTTGATTTATTCAAAATTCCGACTAATAATATAATATAATAAAAAATAATTAACGGTAGCACTTAAAAATGCCATAATTTATATGCTAATATGGTTGTCCGTGGAAAGTTTCAAAGTTTGGATATAATATTATATTTTTTTAAATTGTTTTCTAACTCATTTCTGTAATGGATATTAATTTTTTAAATAATTAAATAAAAATAATCCTAAAAATAAACGAAGTATTTGAAAAGGCTAATTAATTAATCAGCTATTTTTTCTTTTAAATTGACAATTATTTTGGTAGAATTATCTATTTTCCGCCTAACTTTTTTTTTTTTGTATTGAACAATTCTTTCATGAAAATTAGGTAGAGAAAAAACTGTCACTAATTTATTTTTCTTTTAAAATTCATGAGTTAAAAATTTAAGTTTTTATTAAATAAAGATTTAATTTTATAAATACTTATTTAAAATAAAAATTGACTTAATCAAACTACATATCTTACAAATTAATTAATTAATTAACTAATTATTAATGAAAAGAAATCAAAGGAGAATCCACACCACATATAAATTCATTTTAATTATTAAAAAAACCATCCCATTTTCTCCAACGAGTGCTAGTAGTCAATCATTCTTCTGAACCTTAAAATCCAACTAATTTCCCATTAAAAAAAATAATAATAATAAAAAATAAAAAAGTCAAATCCAGGTTGGGCTGAGAATATTGACCCGATTGGGGCAATGGGCTATTGGGCTATTGGGCCATGGACTTTGTTCAGACACATGGATTTAAAAGTCTCTTAAAATAATAATTATACTCAAAATAATTTAGTCGCTGAAAAAAAAAATAAATAATTTTCATAAATTTTGGTTTGATTTTCATCCTATTTAAAATTATATATTAATTTCAGAAATGATTTCTTTGGTAGCCTTTTGATTTTTCTTCTTTTATGATTTTTTTTTTTTTTTTGTAATTTTTAAAACTTAGAATGGTTTTAAAAAAATAGATATAATATTTTTTTAAAAGAAAAATAAAGAAATGGGTAACAAACAAAATAATTTTAAAAAAATAAGGAACTAAAAATGAAATCATTATGAAAAGCTTTTTAAGTTTTTAAATTTTTATAACATTTTAAAAAATATATGAGAGTGGTATTAATAGCCTAGATCCAATCAAATATTTCTCATTCAATAATTATTATTTTTTATTAATAATAAAGTATTTTAAATAATTTAAATTATTTATCTATAATTTTTTTTTTTTAAGTTATTAAAAACTACTACCTACTCTAAACTAAATATGTACTATGTGGTTAAAATTAATTATTTCATACTATAAAGTAGATCAGATATCAAAATCGTAGTGGTTACATTGAAAATCTTGTAACATAGTAATGAGAAGTTATAGAAGGCCGACCTTTTAGGTAAATTAAAAAAAAAAAATAATTATACCATGTTAACTAAGATGCAAAATAAATAATATCATATTAATGTAATAAATATATCTTAATAATAAACCATATAATTTAAGCTGACACCTAACAAAATTCAAAAAATAACTATCAAATTTAAGTGAGATAAGTAAAGTTTATCCATATGAAAACTATCTCTAACTAAAATCTAAAAATTTGACCGAAGGCTCAAATTCTATTGGACTAAAAGGTCGTGGTTTAATTAATGAGATTCAATTTTTCAACTTTATTATATACTTTTTTAACTTTGATAATAACGTTAAAATTTGTCAAATTATATTAATTATTCTTCAACGTTAAATAAATATTAGAATTAAAATGATTATTTCTAAAAGTGGAAAATTTTGAAATTTTAAAAAGATCAACTAAATTAATAAATTTATATCTTTTAGAAAGAATTTAAATACTTATGTATGTATCTTTTATGTTTCAATTTTATTAGAAAAAAATTTATAAAATATCTGTGGTAGATTATCATGTCTATATAGTTTCTTACCGTTAATATTTATATTTATTGATATAGTAATATATTTGGGTAAGATTTTTTTTTTTTTTTTTTTTTTATTGATATCTTAATCGAAAAATAAAAATTTATCTATTAAAATTCTTATACAATAAAAAAAGTAAATTTAAAAAAAAAATGAAAAATCATAATATATATATATATATATATATATATATATTATATGTGTGGAAATCTTATCTTAACATACGCACTTTAAAGCTTTGAGGGGAAGCTCGAAAGCGAAGGGTGTGGAAATCTTATTCTAGCAAACGCCTTGAGGGAAAACCCGAAAGGAAAAGCCTAAAAAAGTAGATTTGGGTTGTTACAAATGGTATCAGAGCTAGACATAGGACGATGAGCCAGTCTTCTCGTTAACATGAAGCGGTGTGTGTAAGGACGTTGGGTCTAAAGGAGGTGGATTTAGGGCGGTCCCACATCAAACTTTGAGTCTTCCATGGCTTTAAATTATGAGTACCAAACAATCTGAATCCATTTGAGAGGAAACATTCTAAAGCCACCATGGAAGAACTGATGATGGCAATATCTTTCATTCTCTTCCTCTTCACCCTCATCAAGCTCCTCCTCCAATGGAGAAACCAACCCTCTTGCTACATGCTAGCCTACCAATGCTACAAACCCTCCGACCCGACACAAAAACTCGACACCGATTCATGCGTACGAGTCATCCTCCGCAACAAAAACCTCGGCCTCGACGAGTACAGATTTCTTCTCAAGACCATCGTCAGCTCCGGCATTGGCGAACACACCTACGCCCCAAAGAACGTGATCGAAGGCCGTGAAGAAACCCCAACCCTAAACGACTCCCTCTCGGAAATGGACGACATCATTTTCAACACGCTCGATAACCTTTTTGCTAAGACTAATGTTTCTCCTTCCGACATCAAAATCTTGGTCGTTAGCGTGTCGTTGTTTTCGCCGTCGCCTTGTTTGACATCGCGGATTGTGAACCGTTACAAGATGAGGGAAGATGTCAAGGCTTTTAATCTGTCGGGAATGGGGTGTAGTGCGAGCATTGTGGCTATTGATTTGGTGAATAATTTGTTTAAGTGTTATGAGAATTGCTATGCCATTGTTGTTGCTACTGAGTCTATTGGGCCTAATTGGTATAGTGGGAAGGAGAAACAAATGATTCTTTCAAACTGTTTGTTCCGGTCGGGTGGGTGTTCGATGCTTTTCACGAATAGAAGAGATTTGAGACATCAAGCCATGTTGAAGCTTAAATGTTTGGTTCGGACACATCTCGGAGCTAACGATGAAGCATATCAATGTTGTATTCAGGTAACAATTTATGTTTACACTTTACGATAACGGCGTGTTCGAATTCTTATCGCTTTTACATGAGAGAGGGTCGCACTACTCTCTCGTGGAGGTGAAAGGATAGAATCTCGAACCTCCTAGTCGAAAATATATGTCTAATCAATTACAGTTTACGTTGGTTAAACAGGATCAGGAAAGAAAATGGTAGTGAGTTCCTCAAATATCTTCTGTATGTCTTGTGTCTTAAGGTTGAAGATGATAACAGATATCGAGGGTTTAGGTTAACAAAGAACCTCTTAGATGAAAATATATGTCTAAACCAGTTAAGTTATGTTTAGGTTTATGTTGGTTAAACAAGGTCGGAAAAGGGGATGGAGGTGGGTTCCTCGAACCTCTTTTGTATGTCTTGTGTCTTAAGGTTGAAGACGGATATCGAGGGTTTAGGCTAACAAAGAACCTTTTAATTGAAATATGTGTCCAAATCCGTTGACTTACGTTGACTCATGTCTTAAGTTTTACGTTGGTTAAACAAAGTCGGGAAAAGGGATGGAGAGGGGTTTCTCGAACCTCTTTTGTATGTCATATTAAACCACGACTAAATTTAAAAGTTTACATCGTGTTGTGTTTCAAGGTTGAAGACGATAACGGATATCGAGGGTTTAGGTTAACAAAGAACCTCCCAAAAGCAGCGGCCAAAATATTTGCAATGAATTTAAGGGTTTTAGTGCCAAAGATTTTGCCATTAAGGGAGCTACTTCATCTAGTCATAGCTAATTCTCTGAGCCAAAAAAAACCAAAAGAAGCCATGGGAGGAGGAGGAGGTCAAGTTGTAGGTTTGAATCTCAAGACAGGCGTGGACCACTTCTGCATCCACCCTGGTGGGCGTGCCGTTATCGACAGTGTCGGTAAAAGTTTAGGTCTCAACAGTTACGATCTCGAGCCAGCTCGAATGGCGCTGCATCGATTCGGAAACACTTCATCGGCAGGTAACCTCAATCTCTGAATAAGATTATATCATAAACGGGGTCTCTCTCGAGATCGTAATATCATCATTCTCGAGTCGTACTTGTAGGATTTTGGTACGTGTTCGGGTACATGGAAGCGAAAAAGAGGCTGAAGAAAGGGGATAGGATATTAATGATAAGCTTTGGAGCAGGATTCAAGTGCAATAATTGTGCATGGGAAGTTAGTAGAGATTTGGAAGATGAAAATGTATGGGAGGATTGCATTCAAAGTTACCCTCTTCAAAATTTGGTGAACCCTTTCATGGAGAAGTACAGTTGGATCTATGATGAGTGCTTGAACTTCATTAGAACCATCGAATTAACCTCTACCTAATTTCCTTTTTATTTAGTTTTTTAATTCCAATAAATAAATTTAATAGTAATTAC